GTCAAAAATGGACTTTAAATAATATATAATATGGTGTAAAAAAGGGAAACTTTAGATATGGCTTACCTAGAGTAGTGTTGAAGTCTCTAGAGAGATCCTGCCAAACACATTTGACAGCACGAATTCGTTCACCCGTGAGCGAGGCTTTGACTCGAAAGTAATCACTCTTGTTTGCCTCTTCCAGCAAAGAACTAATCAATATAAGTCCCAATTATCTATCTGTCACTTGGAGGAATAAAGTGGCTGGCTTTGGGATGATTTGAGGCAAACTTCTTCCAATACCCTTTAAAATGCTTGTGAGAAAAGACATTTTAATAATTCTACCATTGAAATGTTTTTATTGTACTGAGTTGATGTAACAAACAGTTGTATTTCCCCACAGTTTGTATAAATGTTATGTTGATTGGTTCATTGTCTGGAATCGCATGATGGCCATGCACGAGAGCAGGCACACAAGCATCGTTTCCTCACACAAGAGCGCACACGATTATTCCCTGATTCGAAGTCCTCGCTCAAATGTGTTTGACGGAATCTTCTAAGCACTTCAAAACTACTCTGTATATAAAATACCTCTAAAAGTTTATATTTGTATGGCATATTATATATAATTTTAAATTCTTTAAGTTAACTTGGCTAATAATAAGTTTAGATGTAAAATCTAGATCAAAGTCTGACAACACTGTCCTAAGGTAGCAAGTCGCATGCTATTAAAAGAGGACCATGCCCAGTCTAAACGTGCCACGCAGGTCGCACATGGTAAATGCTACATGCCTTGCCACTTCTGTGTGAAAGGTTTTATATGTTTCTGTATGTTCATTTTCAAGTGGCGTGCCACGTGCCATTCCATGTGCGACGTGCCACCTTGGTGTGAAAACGCCTTAATACAAACTGTGGGGAATGTCTGAATGATGCAACATCATCTCAATACAATAAAATACTCAGTGGTAAAATTATATTTTTCTCACAAACAATTTCTGGGTTTTAAAAGAATATTGCCTCACATTATCCCCAAAACCACCCACACTCTTTTTCCAAGTGACAGATAAGTAATTGTCACAAGATTACTTTGGAATTAGAACAACATCGTCAACCTCCGATGATACTATCTGCCAATCACCACCTGCCACTTGCCACGTGCATTGTGTCACCTTGGTGTGAAAGCGGTCTTACAGCTACAGCACGATGTGCACCACCTATGAGTTACATTTTTCAGATTATCACGTGCATCCTTGGCCATAGAAGTGCAAAAATAAGCCCGGTTGATTTTCTCAATCACATTAACATTATTAGGTCACATCTAGATCAGTGGTTCTTAACCATTTTAGATTAACGGTTCTGATATAAGCTATGGAACCCCTTCTCTACAAATATTCACATAAGCACACATTTGCATACAATATATAATGTACCTTGTTTATTGAGATTTGATTACCTGGTGCATACATGAGATACACAAAGTGTTACGAACTTGAAAGTAAACAATCTAAATCAAATGCTAATATAAATGTTAATTTTTTTCTGATCTTCACGAACCACTAAACCAATCCATGGAGCTCAGGTTAAGAACCAATCTTCTAGATGAAAATGAAAGTATTCAGCACAAACCAGACATTCTCTTTCTTAAGCTTCTTATCTCCTGTTTACAGATTAGATGCAGGTCTTTTTAGAGAATGGGCAACTTTAATTTCATGTAAGAAACATGAATAAACGTGTCACAGAAGAGGAGGAGGAGGAGGAGCATGAGGAACTATCATCCTCCATGACTGATGACGAGTAATCCGTAAATATCACAAATTTATTGGCAATAGCAGTAAGAAAGACCACGACTAGCACACTGTACCAAAGCTGATAAAAAAAACAACAAAAAAAACAACAACAAAATAACAAACATGAACTGTTAACGCCAAGTCGCTACTTGAAAGGAAACTGTAGAAGATAATGTTTAAGGTTAGGAAAAGAGTTCATTTTGCATTGGTATATTTCTTTACAAGAATATCACTCACAGTACCCTTGTCAAATTAAAGGGTTTCAGCACACATGCTATATCCAAACCCCATGTGACAATTTTGGGAAAAAGCTTAATATAGCTAAAGCTTTAAAACACTCAGGTTATTTTTTCTTGTGTTACTTTGATGTTTGGTTTTTGACCACTAAGCCTTGTGAATTTCATGCATATCCAAAACAATATTGTTTGTGGGTGTGAATGTTATATATATATATAATTATATATATATATATATATATATATATATATATATATATATATAAATAAATCTGAACACCAACGTTGCCAGAAAAAAAAAATTCTTAGGGTTGAACAAATAGAGAAGAATTTCTTCAATTTCATTACAGCACTCAAACGTTTCGGGTTAACTTCACCCATTCTCAGTGAGACATAACTGTAAACAGCAATTATTATATGTTGACAATTATATGTACATTGAGAGTTCACCTTAATTGGAATTTGACAATCTAATGCAAAAATATCAAAATATAGACTGAGTCAAACACCAAATTTCCTCATATTCACATTAACAGTTAAAATAAATTAATATGCTAATACTGGTGCTCAATTTTGTTAGTAATACATATGACACAATAAAATATTGACTAGTGAAATCTTATATCGTAATTACGAAATATCAAAATCATTCAAAATTCTATGTTACATAGCCGAGAATCTTTATACTAGTATAACATCACAATTATGGAGTTAAATTGACTATAAACCTTCAAATTCAACATAAGAGAGGACGCAAAATGATTTAGACCAAAGCGTCATTCCCAGTGGGAGGCGGTTACAACAAATATGGAATAAAATCAAAATTCAAACTTTAATCAGACCTTATTTAAGATTAAATGAACTTATGCAACTTGTACTGTAAAATAACAATAAATGATTGTTACCAACCAAAAAAGGTAAAGCAAAAAGTTGAAAAAGAACGTGCAGCAAAGAGGAACGTGCATTCCTCAGCTAAGGCAATGGAGGAGTGGGCCGTTTTCTGCCGAACCCAGAAAGACAGAAGAAACAAAAGAAAAATGTTGCAGCAAGTAAGGACAAATAAGAAAAAGTATGAACCTCAAATGATAAACGAATTTATTGTCTCAAAACCGATTTAATAAACATATTATCGGGAATAGATATTTTCTGCTATTCCCTATTAAAGTCAGAGATGGGCAGTATTGCGATACATATATCGCCGATACATATCGATCGATACTTTTGTATTGGTAGGGATATCGCTTTTGCTACTCAACAACATTATCGTTTCATCGGTATCGTGAGGGTATTTTTTCTCAAAATGTATGGAATAAAATCAAGAAGTCGATACATTTACATAACTCTCTCTCTCTCTTCCTCCATCCGCCACCCCTCTCTCTCTCTTTCCTTTCTTCCATCCCTCTTCTCTCTTCTCTAGCTCTCTCTTGCACACAAACTGTCCCTAACACTCGCACACTCTTCCCCCTCCCTCCCTTCTTCCACTCCTCTCCTCTATGCATCTCGCTCTCTCTCTCACATTACTCTCTCTAACCCTCTAACACACACCCGCTCTCTTTTTGTTCTCTCTCTCACTCCCTTTCTTTCTCTTTATCTCTCTCTCTGTTACTTATTCTCTGTCTCCATCTGTTCGTCTTTCTCTTTATTTATTCATATTTTTTTCTCTCTCACTTATTCACTTCCTCTTTCTCGCTTTACTTGTCTTCCATTCGCCAATTTTCAAGGATCGATGTATCGGTATCGCCTTAGACAAATCTGTGTGTCAATAATGTTCATCATTGATTTTAGTGCAGATACTAATTAAATAAAAACTAAAACTCATCGAGTAGTATTCCTAAAATGACAAATCGCAATATCTTCAACACGAATTTTAACAGAGACGACTTCAAATTTACATTCTTTTATTTCACTCTTGGTTGGATGCTCGTCATTTCCAGATAGGCCGACCCCCCCCCCCTTCTGCATTATATTGCAAATGATAGTTTTCCCGTAAATATATAATATATATATATATATATATATATATATATATATATATATAATATATATACTGGAGACCCTACTCCTCCCGTAAATAATGTTTTGGTGTCATGTGATGAATAATTTGTTCATAAATTGTGCGAAAGAATTTTCGTGGTGATAATAAATATTGGAAATTAATTTTTGAAAAAATCACATCACATGTACAAATGCCTGAACGCACACACAGGCACGCACACACACACACACACACAGGCACGGCACGCACA